GCAAAAGTCAAAATGGAAGAAATCTGGTGCTTCGCCTCTCGCTCCAAGCAAACTTTACGATTCCTCAACACTTTGCGATGGTGTTCACAGTGACAGTTATGGTGAAAATAAACACACTTCACAACGAAATAGAACCTTGTTTGTACAGAGGCCATGCCAAGTTGAGTTGCGTGATTGCTATAAATACATAAATCTACAGAAAGGGTGCTCTCCCAGTTTGGCTCACTTTTGTGTTAGGAGCTTTCTGTGCATGTACCATAGGAAAATTATGACGACTTGAATGGCTTCTTCTATTGCTTTGATATTCGCATATTTGATGTTACATTATAATATTAATAGTAAGATAAAATAAATAATATGTTAATAAACATCAGAAGCAATTAACAAAAGTCAAAAAAATAAAAAACATTACAATTTTTAAATCTAAAACAATGAATTTTGATAACCAACAAAGTTCAACCAAAATTCAACTTGAAGCGCATTGCTTGCAATAAATTTTGTACTTGAAATTAAAATTTCATCTGGCGGACTGTTGGGAAACAAGGTCAGTATTCTTTAAAATTTGTTTCAATAAAATACTCAGTACAATTATTATTATTTATTTTTGTAATTTTATGATAGTTTATGCTACTTAAATTCTAGCCTTAAAGGTAGCATACACCCTACTTAACAGAGAGTGTTTCTTGATATTGCACTTATTCTCACGATAAAATTTTATGACACCTTAATTTCTATTTTCCTTCCTTATTATTTGGCCTTTTTTCCTAATGACTATAAAAAGAAAAATGGTGCTACTTTGGTAGACGGTTGCACGGATTTTGGCGATATTCTTTTGGCGAGTAATACAACTTATGGTAACCCACTGCTAGATAAGTTATTTATAGTAACCGATACTTTGTTGTCATTTTATTTTAAAAATAATGTGTTTTATTGTGCATAAATTCCGTGTTTTAAATATTATTTACGGCTTCTAAATATTAAAAATCAATTTAATTTTGCAATTTTATTTGAAATAAAGTTTTTTTTGTTTATCATATTCTATGAAATTTTATGTTGTGGATGATGTGATCAATGACGTCACCTTACTTTAAAAGTAATTGGTTTTAATATGTATAAATTTAATCTAATGTTTTAAACATATTTATGGCTGTTAAATATTAAAATACAATTTAATTTTGCATTTTTTTAAAAATGATTTTATTATGTATGAATTTTTAAACAAATTTAATTCTAGATGTGATGTAATAGGCTCTCTGATTGGTTATAGAATATTTGTGCATTAACGAGCTGTAATCAGCTCCCTGATTGGTTACTGAAAATTTGTGCATTTCCGCGCCATTTTAAAATTTAATTCATTTCTTGGAATTCCTTCAAAGATGTCTCTCTCTAAGATAATGTTGTTATTGGTAAGTACCAAAGAATTATTGGTATCGAAATCAAAAATTGTCCTTTGAGACCTTATTTTGGCCAGCCTGGCTTTCCTAATCAAAGATTTGTTTACAAATTGTTACAAGGGTTAGAGGAAATTTATTTTAAGTTTTTGGAAACCTCGCTAATTGCTTCTTCAATGAAGTGCGAGAAATGTGGATCACAGATGAAGATGGTTAAAAGAGCCGATTCCGAGGATGGCCGTATATGGTATTGTGGTCACGGTAGAAGAAATAATCGCTGTAACGGTAAAAAAAGTATTAGACATTCCTCCTTTTTTACCGGCAGTAAACTTCCAATTGCTGTCATTTTAGCTCTAGTGTACGAAATATTCATGGGTTCTTCGTACGATAGAATTCAATGTGAGCTCGGTATTTTTTCAGAAGCTGTAGCCGACTGGCGCAGTTATGTAACCGACGTTTTAATTAATTTCGTAGAAACTAAAACGGAGAAGATCGGAGGGCCAGAGAAAATCGTGGAGATTGATGAGTCTAAAATCGGGAAACGAAAGTTTAACAAGCGTCGATTTGTTGAAGGGCAGTGGGTTTTGGGGGGAATAGAGCGCGAATCAGGTCGCTGTTTTTTAGTTGCTGTAAAATTATTGCGAATGCGGAAGCTGTCAAAGCCAACCTGCGCCCCTTTTTCGCTAAAAATAGCGACCTGTCACTTGATAACAAGATCTTGCTTTATAAATCTATCATAAGGCCTATTCTCACTTACGCGAGTCCCATCTGGGGCTCAGCTGCTCTGACTAACCGTAAACACGTCCAAATTTTTCAATCAAAATTTTTACGGCAGATATTAAACGCTCCATGGTTCAGTAAGGAACGATGACATTCATAACGACCTCAAAATTATGCCCATTAATCGCTTTATACAGCGACTTTCGAAAGAATTTTCAAAAACATCCATCTTGTTGGAAATCCAGTATTACATACCCTACCGGTATACGATCCTTGCGGTTGTCTCTTCTTAAAAAGCGACCCAGAGCAATCTTACAACCTGATTATGCTCAACTACCTTTTAAACGGCGTCGATATTGGAATACAGATGCCCAAGTGGATGCTTACCTCTCGTTCCTAAACCCCAAACCGCCCCCGCGTTAACAATGCGTAAGGGCATTGACCGGAGGAATCCTGTTCTTTAACTCTTTAAGGAAGAGCCTTCTAAAGTTTCTTTCTTAACAAGGGACAACCTATCTCCGCAGCCGCACGCGACTGCACTTTAATTTCTCAATAGCTTCTTAAAAGCTTCTTCTTCCACCCTCTAAACGGGTTGCTTTCGACCCCCTAAAAGGGGACGCTCTTATCTGGCCTTTAAACGTCGCACTAAATAGCGACCAATAATTTTCTTCTCCTCCTTCAGTGTATCACACTGAACTGCTACTAGAACCCCCCCAACGGGTTTCGCCCCCAGCCCTTTTTGCCCAACTCTCCGGATTGCTTGTCCTAAGGATTTTATTTTGCTGTTGATATCAAGAATCAAGGAAATGTATTGCACCTTTTATTCTTTTCAAAACTTTTTGAATGTTGACTCCTCTCTCAAATTTATTCCTGGCCCTTTTTAAACACAAAATTTAATTTAAAGAATTTCTAAGAGTTTCCTTTTTTTTTTTTCTCATGCGGAAGGCATTATCTGAAAAGCTTTTATTTTTATAATTAGGCTTCAAAATCTTCCCTTATTAGATGAACCCCTCTTTTGATGTAATTATTCTATCTCTGATGATGTGGAGTTAAAGGCCTAGCCTAGCGCACTCCGTAAATTAACTTCCTTGATCCCTTGACCTTTAGTTGCTGTGCCAGACAGAACAGCGGATACTCTTCTCGCTTTAATTAAGGATTGGATCGAACCGGGAACCCAGATTATTTCGGACTGCTGGAAAGCTTATGACCGTTTCAGCGAAGAAGGTTTTAATCACTTGCAAGTTAACCATTCGCTCCATTTCGTAGATCCTGAAACCGGAGCTCATACTAACACAGTTGAAAGACAATGGCGTGACTTCAAAAATTCTTTGCCTGTTTACAATCGTCGAGGAGATTTTGAAGGATACATAGCCTGGTATTTGTTTAGGAAAATTTGCTCTGCATTGAATGAGCATCCATATGTTAAATTTCTCGAAATTATTAGAGACATAGACTGGGAAGATTGGCATGTACTTCAGGGAGGGGCGGTTAAAGGATCTTCGAAATCTTAAAAACAATACCTATTATTGGATTTTTTTTTTCAAATTTTTTTGTTATTTTTAATCTTCATGATCCATTAATTTGGCTCTAAATTGCTTTATCTATTTATAATTTTTTTTTTTTTTTTTTTATTCCTGCCCTTGATATTACATTTTTCAAATTTTTTCATTGATATCTAAATTATGATTCCGATTTTTTTTGTGGTACTTATCAATAAACAACAAATTAAATGATTCAAGAAAAATGTAAGTACATATTTTTCTTTTATTTTATAATTGTATACTTCAATTTTTGTTAAAAAAATTCATACACTATTTTTAAAAATTGCTGAGATAATTATTGTCACATATGTTTTAATGTTAATTATATTCTATACAACGTATTTTAAAGTATTTGAATTTAATAATATTCTAATTCTTTTAAATGTTGGATGATGGTTTTTAATTCGATATTCAATTTCAGTAATAATTTAATCTAATTAAACGTTGGCACAATGTTTTTATAGCGGTGTTTTTATTCTCTTCTTTGCTTATGAAAGTATAATACCAAACAAAACCGAAAGTAATAACCTTACTTTAGTATTTTATACTCATAGTAAATGTATTTATTTACACTTGCCTGCCATCTTAAAAAAACGGCATTTTCAACAAAAAATTAATCCATTACTTCTAACGCTATATATATATATATATATATATATATATTTTTTTTTTTTTTTTTTTTTTTTTTTTTTTAAGTTTCGAATACTTTACTATGCATGAAAACAGCGTTTTTCAAGATGGCTGACGTTTGTAAAAATCGCGCCAACGTAAATCGCCAAAAATCCGTGCAACCGTCTAACAAAGTAGCACCAGAAAAATACCGATACCATGACATATATGTATAACTGATGAAAATCATATTAACAGCAAGTAGATAGTAACAGTGTAACGATAAAACGATCATCCATTGCATCTGCATGTTAAAACTGCTAACATCAGAAGATCAGTTTTTCAAAATTATTTATGTTGTAGTTTTACTTAGTCTTGAAAATTTTATAACATCAAGTTAAAAACCTTCATGTTCTAATTATAATGTTATAGCGCGTTGGACACGCATTTTTATTGTTTGTGAACATAAAACACAGCAGTTTTTTCAGAATTACAAATTAAGTTTCTCAAGGTCGTTAAATATAAAGTAAATATTATGTTAAAAGTTATTCTATAATAGCAAGAAAACTTTCATATACTTCTACAAATTCATATTTCCTCATTCTATCAGCAGTTTGCCTTCAGTAATTTTGAATTACAGAAATAAAAACCGCTTTCTTTAGATGTAAGTCATCATATGTAAGTTATCTATCTTCTGATTCTTATCAATTAACACGACAAAAAAATACACCGATACAGCTAACCCGCATTGGCTTCAATTTTTATTCGTGAATGAACCACAGATTTTAACAATACTTGAAACCAAGTATACAGAGAACATTTTTACAAAAAAAGATTAACAATTTATCTACATAAACATAAATAACACAATAATTTTTTCATATATCCTCTTTTATTGTTACAATGGGTTCATCGAGTCTTCTTTTCTTTCTTGGATCCAGAAAAGAATCAATATATGGCGTGAATTTTTCTCCTGGATTTTTTGCAAATTTTATCAGAATAAAGCTAGGAAAAAAATTTATGAAAAATATTAGTTTATTTAGTTAGAGTTCATTTTTATAATTCATTCAAAATATGAAAAAATAATAAAAACATTATTAAAAGAAAAACCCATTTTTCAAAAATACTTGCACAATTTGCAATACCTCTTAAAATTTTTTGTCCCAAAACAAAAGAAGATTGGTTGATTAATTGATAATGATACAGCAAAAATGCCTCAGAAATGATGCCCTTGTGTGGAGCTTCCGTAGGTAATCCGAGATAACGTTCACAATACACATGTTAGCAGAAATGTATGAACGCCGGCATTCTATAGAATATCTAGGCATTTTATAGAATGCCTAGCGTTTTCAAGCAAAGTACGAAATATGAGGATTATTATACACTTAAACATTCTATAGTATGACAAATGCTCTTTATACAAAGTATGAAAGAAAGATCTTGATACGGCTATTTTTAAAAGATGTTAATTTCTCAAAAATACAAATGTTATTTTGAAAAAATAATGAGACTGCCACTAAAAAAATTTTATTCAAAATAGGTAAAAAATTAGTGAGGTGTCTTGATACACTATAATAAATTTGTGTTCTCTATATGGTTGAGACTGGAAATCTACCTGACAATGGGAATTCAACTTAAAAAAAAAATCACAGTACAGTATCATGAGCACTATTTCATTTATGTACACTATTTATTTCACCCACTGTATTTGTATTTTAATAAACAGTATTATAATAATAACAATAGGATTTTTTATAAGACCAGATTAATTATTTTCCTTTATTTCTTATTAGAAAAGTTCATTTGTATATATTCAAAGATCTGGGACGGATTTTGGCATATACCAAGATACCACTGTATCTAATACACTATAAAGTGGAAGCTTACCATCAAATTCGCGATAAGATAGCTATTATCTGTACAGTTCTGGCTAGTTATCTCAGTTAAGCGGAATTCTAATGTAGTTTAAATCAATCTTCACTTAATTTTTGTATCTCAGAGCAATAGTTATCAAACTGTTATACACATACCCTCCAAAAGGATACATGAGTTATTTTAAAAGAGTACATAAAAGGGTACATAACATAGTTTCTTCCTAAACATTTTTTAAAAAATGGGAGAAAGAATTTTACAGATTTAGAAAGAAAATAAAGAATTTCAGAAGATGACAATGATTTTAAGTTTAAATGAAAATGATCTCAGGTGCACCAATTTGGTGAACTTTATTTTTTACCATGATTTCTTAATTAATTCTATCGGATGATTCCTATTACAATTTCTGAACTGGCTCTAAGGATATTTTATTCAGAAATAATACTGGCTTTATACGTTTTATCAACTATACATTTTATGTTATCCTAGTGAATGACACATTGAATACTATCAATATGTTACAATTAAGTTTGGAATGCTACACAGAATTTGATTTGAATTTTCTTTTTTCACCTCTGCAAATATACAAATGCTCCCTTCTGAATAAAACTATAAACTGGTTGAAACGGATATACAGGTAAGTGAATAAGTCTGAACTTCCAAAAGGCAGGAAGAATTCAAAAATGAAGATATGAGTGATGAAAGAAAAATTTTTATAGTTTCTAGGTCTTAAAACGTCACAGTACAGTACAAGAGAGTACATAAATAATAATAATAATTATTATTATTGAATAAAATTGAGCATTCGTTTGTGTCATTTACGATGAATTTTTAGAATGAGAGTTATCTATGCATTGTTTCCATCTGAGATTAAGATATTGATAAGATTGTTAAAACTTTGTAACTAGTCATGAATCATTAAATGTGTTACATATTTAATCTGAAGATATTTCTTTAACTTTTGGAATATATTAACCAAGAAAGCCAGCCTGAAAAGCAACAACTTATCTTTAACAAAAAAATATGTTAGTTATGAAAATATGTTAGTTATAAATAATTCTTTTCATCATAAGACATAGTATAAATGGAGTTCATTGCAGTAAGACGATCGAGAGAAAATTTGCTCATTGGTTCTTTGTGCATTAAATTCATTATGACTCGAATGCACGCAACAATATTTCAACTCCAAAATAGGACTAAGAATTTTTGCTAATTAATGTAGCAAGTGATCTGCTTTACTTACTTGTTTATTCTTCAGATGGCACCAGTGAAACTGATTGTTGTTTTCAATCATTTCTTTTTCGCACCGTTTTATTAAACATTTTACTATGAAAACTGTTGAATTTTTTTTTATTTTACGAAGCTAATGAAATTTAAATTTAATGGGTTATTAAATTAATTAATGGAAATATTTTCATTTATATATTCTCAGTTATTTGTATATACAGTGAAATACGTTTAATGTGAAAACACTTAAGACGAAATAATACAATGGTCCCAACAAACAACTACAGTCAAAAGTCTTTAATCCAGATTCGTCGGAACTTCAGGGATTCCGGATTACCGGTTTTTCCGGATTATAGATCATCAATTTAAATCTGGTAAGATGGCATGGAGAAATTATAAAATTAAAAATATGAAACTGTAATTTATGAAATTAAGAGCAATTATGATCTAAAGGGTATCAAAATTTACAAAAAAAAAAGCTTAATATTTATTTGTTTACTTTGTTAAACATTTCTTTCAACGCGTGCATGCGTAAAGCATACATTATGCATAGTCAAAATTAGAAAATTGCAACCAGAAAACTATTTGATCTGTATTCGTGATATTTATAATGACGAGGAATTTGATTTAAATCATATCTAAGACGGAGTACATCGAGATAAAATACTACATTTAGTAAGGAATTATAAGCCGAATAAAATAAAAACATCTGTCCTGAAGATAAGGATAGTGCTGACAGATTAACTTCCAGTTCATTACTCTTGTCCCCTTCAAAAGCTTTTTTTTCCAAGGGGGGGGGAGGCATATGTTAGTGCCAGTAAATTTATATTTTTACAATACAATTCATAAAACTTCATCTTATATTAAACAACATTAGTAAGTTAATAAGAGAAAACTTATATTTGCTTTTTTAACAATTCAAAGCAATTAGAGTATGGATAATCTTCATCTTATTAACTAAAAATTAAATAAATGTTGGTACTCAAATTATTGAAACAGACGAGGCTGCCGATTTCTGCATAGCGGTTCCATGTTTGGACATATGCTGGTAAGATTAGAATTGAAAGTCTGTAGGTAGGGTACCTAGCAATAATTGTTTTTAATTTCAGTTTGGGGAGAGAAGATAATAGAGGATTACCATTTGTAATTTCCAAACTGTGAGATTTCAGCTATTGTGTGGTATATGCATGTTAATTTGATTTTTTTTGTGTGTGGGGGGGGGATAAAGGAGAATAGGAGCAGGCTGTGGACTGTTTCCTTGTTGTTTCCACTTATTGAACACACATTGAGGAACATTGCCTTTAATTAACAGTTTTCAGTAAAAGAAAATTTTAAGGCAGTACAATTAAGATTTTTAGCTTTGCTACAGTTCAGGCACTTTATTTTGTATTTTCAAATTATTAAAAATAGCTTCAAATATTTACCAGGCAGTCATAAAATGTTTTAAAATTTGTTATGTGTGGAAATTTCGTCCAGGAGACTTTTATTCTTGATCAAAGAGCACAATATAAAAAAAGTCTGAGTACCACTGCCTCAGAGAGACATTATACAAAATGTAAGAACATCAGCAAATTTCTGGATTAAAATTACTCTATAATGCATCAGTATGATTAGTTAAGGTAATAATCACAGAAACTTACAACTTATTATCAACAATTAAATAATCTGATGATCTTTGAAAATGTGGTTCTATTACTTTAGAAGCTTACTAGTTTTGTATATCTATAATGAAATCAAATTGAATTTAAGTCAGCATCATAAATAAAACATAAAAACTTCAGCCCCCTGTTGTCTTAACCTAAAAATATCAAAAATCTAGATAAATTTCATTGTATAAGACACTGATACTTTATGGCATACAAATGAATAGTTCGAGATAATTTCAAGTATCTGTGCAGTCTATTACCTTAAAGAGATTATATTCAGTACTGCTGTTTCTTTGTATTTTAAGAAATATTTCACACTTTCAGAGATAACTGTTTAAAAGCTGACTTCATAACACAGACACACTCCTACATGACAAACTTTCGCAGATACAAACTCTTCTCAAAGTTGGACTTTTTTTTTAATTTAAAAAGATTGCAGAGTTACACCCAAAAGAATTTTAAAATCTAATTATTTCTTACATGATTTTAGACACCATGCATACAACTGAAACAGCTCAGTGGTGATTTACCATGATAGATTTAAAAAAATGGATTAAAGAAGATTTATTTCAATACTGCAAAGTTATACACATGAAACTGAGAGAAAATAAAAATTGTGGCACTCATAATATTAATAACATGAATTCAATTTAGGAAAAAGAGAACAAAATTGTATAATCTTAGGAAAAAAGTATGTCTCTTAACCCTCTGATTGGCACAGGTTTTGGGATCTGTCATGAAGACTTGCATTTAAACAAAAATTTTTAACTCAGTTTATACAATTACAGTCAAAAGTCTTTAATCCGGACTCGTCGGGACATCAACGATTCCCGATTATCGGTTTTTCCGGATTATAGATCATCAGTTTAAATCTGATAAGATGGCATGCAGAAATTATAAAATTAAAAATATGAAACCGTAATTTATGAAATAAAGAGCAATTATGATCTAAAGGGTATCAAAATTTACAAAAAAAAAAAAAAAAGCTTAATATTTATTTGTTTACTGTATTAAACATTTCTTTCAACGCGCGCATGCGTAAAGCATACATTACGCATAGTCAAAATTAGAAAATTGCAACCAGAAAACTATTTGATGTGTATTCGTGATATTTATAATGATGAGGAATTTGATTTAAATCATATCAAAGACGGAGTACATCGAGATGAAATACTATATTTAGTAAGGAATTATAAGCCGAATAAAATAAAATCATCTGCCGTGAAGATAAGGATAGTGCTGACAGATCAACTTCCAGTTTATTGCGTGCCACGACGTTCCCCCCCCCCCAAGAGCAGCGTGAAATTGATAAACAGATTTCAGAATGGTTACAGAAACAAAGGATATGCCTTTATGTATTTTTTGCTGCAATTCCACTTTTTGTTTGATGGACATCGAAACATGCTTTCACTTTGTAGATCCTTAGGCAGCTCCAGAATCGGAAATTCTTTTTGACATAATCCAAAGTTCAAGCTTACTTTTATAAAATTGCTCTAAGAGTCTGCAAAAAATAATAAGCTGGATCCAATTAGAAGATTAAGGAACAACGCAATCTGCAACATTAACTGAAATAGATAATTACCGTAATTTCCGGAAGAAACACTGCGGCGTTTACGTGTTTAAAACTTAAATTTTCAGCGGGTGCGGCGTTTAGGTGCAGTAAAAATAAAATATTTCCTATGATGGTCATTGTACATAGTTTGGATGGCCTTGTCATTGTGCATAGACTGGTGCTGTTCCTACACAAAAGACCACTCAGTTGCTTTTTGCAAACGTTATTTCGTTTACATTCTTTCCCTTGAACGGACCTACATGCCTTATTCACCCTAAACGAGATCTCAGAACAATAACATTCTTCCCCCTTTCAAATCAACATTCTCATCAGTTTGAATAGTCTCTCTGCTCTGTCATTCAATGAATCTTCCAGCACCCATCCTCTTTCCACCCCTAACTTTTCTGCAATTTTTTTCAAAGGCGGACACGACTCCATCTGCCTCGCAATAAGGAACTCTGATGTATTTCCCCTTCAGCATGAATGGATTTTTCTTGGCATTCTGCCAAATACAAATCCCATCAGTTTGGGTACAAGTACTTGTTGGATAGTTTTTAAGTAAGAAGAGAGCGAAAAATTTTTGAAAATGTCTCTAAACGGCATAGAAGCTATACATTTCTTACCTTTAATTTATTTTTGAGTTATGGTTTCATTTCATGTATTTTTCTTAACTGGTATGTCATATATCAGGACTATGTTGAGTTTTTGCATCTATACGGCCCACGACGATGTCACGCGCAATTTAATCTATTGCGGCGTTTACGCTGATGCGGCGTTTCTATGTAATTTTAATTTTATTCCTGCCATTTTTCTCGAGTGCTGCATTTACGCTGATGCGGCCTTTCTTCCGGAAATTACGGTATATCATTTTAGCTTAGCTTATACCGTCCGTTATACATTAAACGCGCATGCGTAAACGTAAAGTTTATGTGCATGCGTGAACGCATATGCGCATGCATAAAGGTATTATGCATATGCGTTGACGCATGCGCAGAAAGTTTGTAGCTTTGAGGTCTGGATTATAGATCATTTTGGATTATAGACGTCTGGATTAAAGACTTTTGTCTGTACTTATTTTAGTCTCTATTTTTATAAACGTACTTCATTAAGATGATATTTACACTATTAAAGAAAGTAAAAAAGCAAAAGATCTTAAATTATAAGCAAATATATACAAAGTGGTAAAAAATATCATGACCAGATAAAGCTTGTCATGCCATTCAGATGATTAATGTTTTAAAATATTTACCAAAGCAAATTTAACAAAACATGGTACTTTTCCGTTTCGCCGGCGCAAATTTCACCAAGCAGACTTTATTGGCGACAATACACAGTATACACATAAAAAATGTTGACAAATGTTAGTTCTAAGAATTTTTTGTTTTGAAAGGTATAAACATTTTAATATTGTTTCAAATTCTGTAAAAAGCAATCAATAAAGACAATGAATTTGTAAAAAGACATTAATTTAAGAATTTACTATGCTTTCATGGTACAACATCCTGATTCGCCGGTTCGTATCAAGTGACCCCAAGTGATCTCATCTCAAGTAAACTACGCTACAAAAATTTCATTCTCTCAGTCATTATCTACATTAATTTCAAGTTAAATCTTAATTTGGATACAAGTTTAAATGCAAGAATTATTTCAATTCGTACGAATAGCTTACTCAGAAATTATGTAAAACCGCAGTGCTTTCCTTCGCTAGTGCATAGGGCAGAAAACTGAACTATCTGGGTAAAAATTTTATGTAACAGTATTGAAAGAAACAATCAATCTGATAAAAATGGCTGCGACTTGTTTTGAAAATGAGGTTACCAGCGAGGATATTCTGTTGTACCATTGTTGGCAACTTTATTGCCTGCGCCGGCAAAACGGAAAAGTACCCAAAACATTTTCAAATGTGCTATGTATTATGTATTCAGGTGCTTTTCAATTACAGCAGCTCTGATTAGAAATGTGTATTGGCAAGTTAAGTCTTGGAGAGAAGCAGATGGTTACCAATACATGAAACCCATTCACTGAATATCTACTATACATAATTTAGTACTCGTACATTTCGTCAACTACTTTGGCAAGCAAAAACTGTCACCAAACAGTACGATTCAATACAAATAATGAACAAATGTGACATCCCAACACACACACCTTCACTGTGGTTTTATGCAACACCAACCGATTCTCAACAAACCAATTTTGTTTTTGAGGGAGAATATAAATTAACTGTTATTTCTCTATTTTTTCTAGTATTTAAAAAAAATCATTAAAATTTGGAAGCTGATTGCTCTCTAGAAATGCAAGCAATGCAGTATTTTCAGAGTCAAGTATCCTGCCATCATACTCAAAACATCAGGTGTCTTGGTTTGGGAAAAATGGCACACTAATAGGAACTTTTAGCCAGGGGAATGACTGGCACAAGTTTTAATGAATTTGTTTGTCAGAGAATCAAAAAGCTTAAACTCTTTTTATTCTTTTTAAATCAGTAATTTACATTAGTTGATTACATAACTAAAGGGTGACCTGTAATTAACTAATTGAATACAGAGTCATCTGTTCCTTCATTATTCTGCTGGAATGACCAGCACAAGTTAGACAGGATCTTTGCTAATTTCCACAGTGGATAAGAGTACACAGTGATGTAAGTACCATAATTTATTTACTATACATATACAGAAGCGATTTAATATAAATTTGTATTTCTTATTTTCATGCAATTTTGTTAGTAATTTATTTAAAACAAACTTATAAAATAATAGCCAAAATTACTGCAATATATACATAAAATACATACATCACACAACACAGAAACGCACCCAAAATATAAACTTCTACTGCCATAAGATAGTTTTGTTTCTAACATACAGTTACACATGATGAACATTTTACAAACTCTTTTGAAGGATAAAACACTTTCCTCTTAGGAAAAACTATAGCATATATTGCCATCAATCAAAGATTGAGAGAGCAAGCATATTAAGTACAGTCAAAAGTCTTTAATCCGGACTTGTCGGGACTTCGGCGATTCCGGATTATCGGTTTTTCCGGATTACAAATCATCAGTTTAAATCTGATAAGATGGCATGCAGAAATTATAAAATTAAAATATGAAACCGTAATTTATGAAATAAAGAACAATTATAATCTAAAGGGTATCAAAATTTACAAAAAAAAAAAGCTGAATATTTATTTGTTTATTTTATTAAACATTTCTTTCAATGTGTGCATGCGTAAACCATATATTACGCATAGTCGAAATTAGAAAATTGCAACCAAAAAACTATTTGATGTGTATTCGTGATATTTATAATGACGAGGAGTTTGATTTAAAATCATATCAAAGATCAAGAGAGTACATCGAGATGAAATGCTATATTTAATTAAGACACAATAACACGCCGAATACTATATTTAGTAAGGAATTATAAGCTGAATGAAATAAAAACATCTGCCCTGAAGATAAGAATAGTGCTGAGAGATCAACTTCCAGTTCATTGTGCACTTGAATATAATTATAAGCCAAATAAAATAAAAAGCGCCGCGACGTTCCCCTCCCTCCACCTCGCAGAGCAGCGTGAAATTGATAAACAGATTTCGCAATTGTTAGAGAAACAAAGGATATGCCTTCATCCATTTTTTGCAGCAATTCCACTTTTTGTTTGATGGACATCGAAACATGCTTTCGCTTTGTAGATCCTTTGGCAGCTCCAGAATCGGAAATTCTTTTTGACATAATCCAAAGTTCAAGCTTACTTTTATAAAATTGCTCTAACAGTCTACAAAAAATAATAAGCCGGATCCAATTAGAAGACTAAGGAACAATGCAACCTGCAACATTAATAGAAATAGATAATTAGATAATTTTAGCTTAGCTTATACCATCCGTTATACATTAAACGTGCATGCGTAAACGCATTATGCGCATGCATAAAGGTATTATGCGCATGTGTAAACGCATTCAGAAAGTTTGTAGCTTTGAGGTCCGGATTAAAGACTTTTGACTGTATTTCACAATGAAAAACTGAAAACTTTCATTAGCTAACGAAACAAAGTATGAGCATATGTCAACCAGTAACTATACAGTAGTTACTGGTTGACTGGTTGGTTAGTAGCCATCTGTTTCTTGCCAAGGGTAAATTGCTGCAACTCGCCATTTCTCACCAAGGTGCTTTAATCAACCAAGTACTCGTAATTTATTTTGCTTCTGACTTTGTATATCTTGTAATGTTTTTATAGCTTCATAGTAATAAAACTAAAATCGATGAAAAAATACTTATTATAATCAATAGAAAATGATATGGCTAATTTTTATATAAATTATACATAATTAATTTTGTGATAGCTAAAATTAAGATGATGTATATGTAATAAGACTGTATGTTAAAATTCTCAAACAAGCTTTAATACAAAAATTCTCTTTCCATGAAAAATAGATAAATGCAATACAACATACACAAATGTATGAAAGAAACAACAATAACAAGCTGACTAATAGTAGAAAATAACAAATGCTCTACTTACTGAGAAAGTATTGCTAAACCAAAACAGCCTAATGCAATCGAAAGAGTATTTCTGTTACGCAGTTTATGAGCTCGTGTACCCTTCAGTTGGTTAAAAGGTGGTTTCTTCATGATATGTGCATAAAGTTCATACTTAATAACTCAAGAATCTAGAACAAATGAGAAATAAAAAGGCATGATTACTTTAAAATTTCGGAGAAGCATTATCATTAATGCTATTTTTAATTTACTTCATTTAATGTGAAGTAAACCAGCATGGTATTTAATAAAAACTCCAAAGAAGTAGAATTGGAAAATATTTAGAGGAATGGTTTAATATTTCTTCACTCTTGGTTATTCATCTGTTGAGGGTATAAGTTTTTTTGGTAAAAGTATATTCGGTAAAGTGCAGAATTGCCCACTTATTTGTTTGCCGCTTTTTACAAGAGTACGAAGAATTGGATTTTTGTCAATTTTCTTTGACATTTTAAGTGAAAATAGGTCGAAGTGTACATGGATAAAGTCAAGGGAGTGTGCAATGCCATTTTTGTGCAATTCTGGGATTTTTTTTTTAGTGAAAATAGGTTGATGTATACATGGATACCAAGTATGTGCAATTCTTCACTTTCCCAGTATATTTAAGGGTATCCCTTAACAAAACTTGGCGATACATGGATACCGAATTTGTGTAAGTCTTTCACTTGTTATTTTTTCTTGTGTAGTGGCGCGCTACACAAAACCAAAATAACAGGGTAAAGAATTGCACAAACTCAGTATCCATGTACACGTCGACCTATTTTCATTTCAAAAAAAAAATCCCAGAATTGCACAAAAATGGCATTGCGCACTCCATTGACTTTATCCATGTACACATCGACCTATTGTCACTTAAAAAAACATCAGAGAATTGCACAAACTAGGTTTTGCGCACTCCCTTGAATTTGTCCATGTACAAATCGATATATTTTCACTTAAAAAGTCAAAGGAGCACCCAATTCCACAGTAGTGGTAAACAAAAAATACATAATCTCAATAAACTACATTTTAAACCCAACCATAAAATAACATAAAGGTTTAATCTGTTATGTAATTAAGCATTACAAAGCAAATTTCTACTTACCTCTGTGGCACACAAAAACACAAAACTCCTTAACAGCATCCAATAACTTTCTAAAAATTATCTGAACTAGAATCCGTATATCGGCGTCGCCACATAAATTCACAAAAATACGAGTAAAAAATATCCTACATATTCCGGACTGTCCGAAAAATGGCTACTAAGCAAGTCTTCGTTTACACACCAGGCAATTAATGCACTTTTACCCTTTCATTCCAAATCATACAGAAACGTCAAATTAATCTTACTACATTCAGCCATTCTACCGTCTAAACAATGAAACAAGCAATGTACTTCTAACACCACAAAAGCCATTACAAAACATCCCATGATTGAAAATTTCCTGGAATAATGTAAACAATTGCATCATAATAAGGTTTCCATAACATTCAACTACTCGGGTTACCATAAATGACACAACTTGGCGATAAACAAACTACAACTTACCGATAATGAAACAACTTCGCAATAATACAAGGGGTACTCTAAACTCAACTCTATCCATTTTTTTTTTTTTGGGTTGATCTTTACCGTACGGTGGTACCCTTTCGTTTATGTCTGAAAAAATTGCCAAGTGGTATTGGTTGTTTGTGAAATCTGTAAGTCCACTGCCTGAAATAGGTTTTTCAGTAACCCTAATGTTGATAATGTTGGCAAAACTAGCCTTGGTGAAAACTGTTTTTAGTTTTTGTCATTAAAAAGGAGTTATTTCTGCGAATATCACCAAATGTGTTGTGATAAATTGAGATTTTGGCTATTAATAGTAACCCTTTCATTATGGACTGGAGTTTTTTTATTCTTACCATTCTTTTTAATTGTTGTGTTTCGTTGGGCATGCATTGGTGTTGTATTTTGATGAGGGTACCATCATTTAAGTATGTCTATAAATAAAAGGATGAATGTTGATGGTTTGGACACTATTATAAGTATTTATCCATCATTAACAGCAGATGAGCCGAAACGACCAAAAATTTAATTGAATTGCTTATGTGGAGAATGGAGGAGATGGTAGTGGGAAGCGTGCACGCGGAAAAAAAAACAGGTATGTTAAAAAATTTATGTTTCATTTAGTTATTCGTCTCTGTGTTTTGTTGTTTATTGCTTTTATGTTAGGAACTAAGCATTTTTTGGTTATTTATTACTCTATGTTTGTGTATCTTTGGTTATTTGTTCGCCTCTCTGTGTTAAGACTGTGGCAAATTTTTCTGGTCAACATGACAGTTTTAACTTTGTTTTAGCTTCCTGATTTTGTTTAAGTGAAAATAGATCGATGTGTACACAGACAATGTTAAGGCAGTACACAATGCCTAGTTTGTGAAATTCTGACGTCTTTTTAAGTTAAAATAGGTCAGTGTGTATATGAACACTGAGTTTCTGTAAGTCTTCGTCTTCTTGTTTTGGCTTTGTGTAGTGGGCAGAAGGATCGGAACCATCTTGAAATTGGTGCCAATCTTGCCGTCAAAAAAGAAACAATTCGCCAAGGGGTACTGTAGTGTCAATTTTATCCCTTTTTTTTTTTTATGAAAACTTGGGAAGTTTAATTTTTACTTCTATTTTAGAATTACTAAGATGACTGTTTTTGTTTGAGAAACAATTTTTCATTTTAAAAGAGAGCATTAAAAATATCTTCAACAGATTTCGGTACAACTCTAATATACGCCCTAATTTCACCCAAATGTGGCGATATGTGTTCTGCGCTGGTTTTTGGCACGATTGCATGTTCTATGGCAACCCTGTTGACGAAAAATCTTTCACTGGAGCTCGTTGGTACGCATCTGTGTCTGAGAAGATGGGAGGGAAAGATAAAATGGTAGTTGTTGAAGTTCGGCAAAAGGAAATATGATTGTGGCTATCCTGTTGAGGGGTAGTGGGTATTTCGAAGTGTGGAAAGAGGGTCTAGGAGATTATTTTTAATGGCAGTGCATGATAGAAGTAGGGATTTGTGATTTTATTTATTTGTGAACCTATATAAAATTTTCTGGATAGTGTGTCTGGCTGTCGTGTAAATACAATAGTGATTACGTGGGCGGCATGTTAAAGGTGGTATGAATTTATATTTCTGCTTTCTGCTATTCGAAAACGCATTAATTCATGGTAAGTGCATTTTATTTATCCTTGTTCTTATTTTGTAGAATGTTATGTTCATTGGTTCTTTAGTATGAATTTCTGTCGTTATTGTTGTTTTTTTAAATTGTTTGAAATTTATTTTAGTTTATTTTGTTGTTTAGTGTCTACACTGTACAATTCGTAGATGTTTTTTAAAGTTAAAACAGAACGCTGTGTACATGGTATTATTTAAATTTATTGTTGTTACGTTATTTTATTAAAGCGAGGAGTGCGTAGATCGTAGATTCCTTCCTTGCCTAAATTGTGCAATTCGTAGAATTTTTTTAAGTTTAAACAGGATGCTGTGTACATGGTATTCTTTGAAATTTATTATTATTATGTTAATTTATTAAAGCGAGGTGTGCGTAGTTTGTAGATTCGTTGTCTTGTAGTAGTTCTTTTTTGTTTCGGATTTTTAGCTAAATTGTGTGTTCAAAACGTAGTTTTTGCATGTGCGAAAACCGCGTTTTTGGAGACATTTTAGGCTAAAAGTTCAAAATGTAGACAAAAAATTTAGATAGTAATATGGCAGCGTGAAGTTTCTCGCCAAAAATAATTGGCGACTTGAGGGCGCATATCAGAGTAGTTCCCAGATTTCATTCAAAACCAAAAACAAAAATATGATTTTCAGATATCTTCAGACAGCTAAATTCAAAAACACAACACTGTCTTACCACATGCTATTCTGACGGCAAAACATAAATCATTATTAACGTATTCTAATACAATTTATACCGTGATGTGAAATTTATTGCATAATTACATAAACAAAATATGTATTTCTGTCAATTTCAAACATATTAAATCCTTTCTCTTAGTATTTCGTAAGAAAATAATTTATGTCATCAATTTTAACAAAATATAGACAAATATCAACGGACTAAGTAACTATTAAACACAAAAAATCAAAAAATTATAAATCCGTACTCAAGAAGCCACAATACTTATATTTCTATACAAAGGCAATTACTTCAAATCGGCAGCTGATTTTAGAGTACACACCGAGTTATAATAAATATATGATATAATCTCATGTCTACAGACAGAACGAAGAATTTGAATGGAAGTTCGTAAAATAATAAAGTATTCTACGCACCTTTGGATGTTCAGGACTTTCCGATAGAAAGGAGAGATAGTCTTTTTGCCCGCTCGTAAACGATGTCTTCGGCCTGCAGATTCTTCTTCTTGTGGAACGGTGTATGATCTTGTTCACCTGGGTGTCTTGGCACAAGCGCCTGGCCCCAGCCACCACCCCAAGCTCTTATTGGACACGACTTCTGATGTCTTACAGTGACGAAAAGAATTCTCCGCGGCATTATTGTGCGCCAAAAGTTTGAGCCCGAGGTCATTTTAGCGCTGAAACAGGCGAAAAATTACAAAAATAAAAAGCAGCTTCAGAAATATATTGTTAATATACATAGTATTAGAAAAAAGGTGCAAATCGATGTGCAGTCGATAACCGTTTAGTCATTAGATGAATATCGAAGTCATTTGACAATAAACACTTTTTATAAGATATAAAAGTTAAGAAACAAAACAATAATGCATAAAAAAAAACAGCATGATAACTCCAATTGACAAAGTCAAATAAACGATATAATTAGTTCTTTAAAAATATCTTATCACTTTACTTTATTTTAAACCATAAATGAAGAGAAATGAATGCCTAGAATTAGAAAGCAAAAAATTAATCTAACTACAAACAATTTTGATACCAAACAATAAATAAAAGGAAGGTTATTTTGTTAACAAACAGTTAATTTTTATGAAGCAATAACTAGCTTTTACATTTATATCACTTTTAAAAACACTGTTCTGAAAAATAAACCGCTAATTCATGAAAACTGCGGCAGACATTATTTAAGAGTTAAGTGCTTGACATTGCTGACGAAGTAAATCTTGTTAATGGTCTCCTGCTATATGAAATTTTACAATATATTTCTTAAATATCAGTATAGCGCTATGAATTGCATTGAATACAGATTGCTTAGTCAAACGATATTTACGTATTATAAAGTTTTATCTATGCCATTAACATGATTTAACAATTTATATCAAAAGTGCCGACATATTTTCTTATACTGTTAGGTTCGTTTTAATTGCAAATATTCTGTTACATTGCACAAATTCACATTAACACAGGACATAAACAAATCCAAAGTAATTATAAGTTCCCCTTGACATAACTCAAACGAAAGAGATAATGGAATCTTTTCAGCCTGACGTCATAAATGGCAACCAATAAGAACAGGGGTGGTGGCTGGGGCCAGGCGCTTGTGTGTCTTGGCTGACTCTTTACCCCAAATCAAACATAGTTGAAAGTTTCGAAATGTTTTAGAAAGTAACTTTATTTAAGATATATTTTTTTTTTTAAATTAAAATTTTCAAAATATTCACGCATTATAAATTCAAGCCTCAAAGCTGTCTAACAGAATCTATGTTATCAAGGTAATTTTGAATCAATAAGTCTCAAGTGGTTACAAATACATACAATACACACAAGATATAAATATACATAAATAAAAACATAAAAACAAAAGAATACAGAATAACATGAAAAAGTAAATATAAAAATCAGACTTCCATGATTATATATTTGGATTGAGAATGGACGTTGGCCTTTTTTTATTAATATCATTCTTAAATCGCAATTATATATTCTGATTCAGAGTTACTAATAGTGCGTAAACGAATGTGAAACCGTCTGGCCAGGTGGCAATAAAAACTTCTCAATGGAATTGTGCAATGCATTGTTTGTAATATAGTACGATGCGTTTGTAACTTTCCGCAGAAAAACATTCTGGGCAGTTTGCAGTCTTTTTGTAGAATTTTACGTGAATATGCCTAGACTGGACAACCATAACAGAGCATGGGAAGCAGAATGGATTTATAAATGAGTAATTTATTATCTATAGATATAACGTTGTTTCGGGCAATTAACACATACACACAGAGATCGTATTTTATTCTCGAGTGTCAAGATGTAGAAACATCTGTTTACTCGACTTCTGATAAGGATCGGGTAGGAGCAGAAAGAGTAGGGTAGAAGGAAGTGTGGGAGGCTGAAAAAAGAGAGTGAGGTCCGCACTAGCGGCGGCGAAAAAACTGGGGGTGGCAAGTCCAGTGTCGTTATAAGATGTAGCCGCGGGTGGTAAAACCGCAGAGTCAGTTTAGCGTGAATGAGTCAATTAAGGTTGTAATTTTTATGTGGATAGGATGTCACAAGGGTACCGATGTTTTTCTCTGCGACGCGGGGGTGTCTGAGAGTGCTAATAAGGCTATTACTGTAGGTTTGTACTGAATAAAAGAAGTTGACCGCTAATCGTTTAATATACTCTTGAATAAGTTCGATTCGAAGGTCTCTGTGAATATAGATGTTGGGAATATACCAAGGAGCATTGATAATTTCTCGTAGAATTTTATTTTGTAGAATTTGTAATTGTTTAATATTGGTTTTAGCTGCATGTCCCCAGATCGGTGCTGCATAAAGGAGGGCTGGGCTAAGTATGGAGCGATATAGAATTAATTTGTTTGTAGTAGATAAGTTGCTTTTTCTACCAAGAGGTCGCATAGTAGCTGTGGTGATTTTAAATTTCCGTACTACGGACCAGAAGTGGGCTCTGAAGGTAAGTTTTTAGTCAAGGGTATTTGGTTTCATTAATACAGTCTATTTTTTCGTGAAATATTTCAGAGGGTGGAAGATAGTATCATGTTTCCTTTACGGAAAATTATTGCCTTATAAGGTCTCTGTGAATATAGATGTTGGGAATATACCAAGGAGCATTGATAATTTCTCGTAGAATTTGTAATTGTTTAATATTAATTATTTCATTAATACGATCTATTTCTTCGTCAAATATTTCAGGGGGTGGAGGATAGTATTTCATGTTTCCTTTACGGAAAATTATTACCTGAGTTTTATAAGTGTTAATTTTAATCCTCCAAAGGGAAAGCCATTTTTTCAGTTTTATGAGATAGCTTTGGAGTTGGTTTCTTACGGCGATAACTGTGCAGGCTTTAGTAAGTATGGCGGTGTCATCGGCAAACAGTGCAAGATGACCAGAAGGCTCTTTAGGGATATCTTGTGTATAAATATTAAAAAGGTACGGCGAAAGTGCCGACCCCTGTGGATCACCAGCAATGATTACTCTGGTGGTAGAGTAAACAGTACCGATTTTGATTCTGAATGTTCTGTTGCTGAGAAAAGAGGCTATTAAGCGAATAAAATGATCTGGAAAACTGAGTGATTAGTTTGTAAATAAGGCCTCGATGCCATACCCTGTCAAAAGCTTTCGATATATCGAGGAATATAGCACCGGTCGGAAGCTTGCAGTTGTAGCCTTCAGTGATAATGTTGAAAACTCTATAAGAAAATGGTGGCAAGTGCTATGAGGATTGCGAAAACCGAATTGTTCTTCTGGGAGAAAATTCATGGAAGGGTGAGTAACTTTAAACAGATGGCTAAGTAAACTGATAGGGCGATAGTTCTGTGGGAGAGTTGGATTTTGTTGCGGTTTAGCAAAAACAATTAACATAGCTTGCTTCCATGAGTTAGGAAAATGAGCGAATTTGATAATGTTGTTGATTATCTTAGTGAGGCGGGTAAGATCGTTGATCGGAAGAGACTTCAGTGTTTTAGTCGAGATGCCGTCGTGCCCTGAGGCTTTCTTCGTTTATAAGGCGCTGATGGTGTTGGCAACGATTGTTGAGGTAGTCAGGAAAGTGAAGTTGTACGGAGAAGGGTGATTGATTCTTGATTCTTCTGTTGATTTCTTTTGCATAGAGTTTAGTTCGTGTTTGAGTTGTGGATCCCTGGTGGTTTGCCATCTTTTACGGATCCGGTTTTTCTTTTTAATACTATTTCTTATATCGGGAGGCAAGGCTACAATGTTCTTTAGAATATAATTAATACAACAGGCAAGCGCTTTTCAAACATTTTTCAAGCAACAGCCATTTCTATAAATTAGAATGTTTTGCAGACAACCTTACTCTTGTTTTTTTTTAGAGAATACTTTTTTCGCATACATTACTAATAGCATACTTATATTTTAAATGCACAATGAATTTTACATTTGTATTAAACAATTAAATTAACAGAAAGGAAATTATATTTGTTTTTAAAGTTAAAAGTTTTTAAAGTCAAGGCTGTTAGACTTTAGATTAATTTATTAACTAGGAATTAAATAAATGCTATTACTCGTGTAAATGAGATGGACGAACCTGATAATTCTTGCGTAACTGTTCTCTGTTTTTGATACATTACTGGTTAGACACCACAGTTATAATGCTTTCCTCTTTTGCTGGTAAAACTAGAGTAGGAAATTTTTACTTACTTGCCAGTAATAAATTAATTATCACCTAAGAATAATATATAATTACTGGTTAACCATTATTATAAAATGTCAGCATTAGGGAGAAACTTGATATTTATATGTAATTTCCAAACTCTGAAACTTTCAACTGTAGTCTGGCCATTTAATTTGAATTTTATATTTTGGAAATCTAGAAGAGACACACAGGCAGGCTTTGAGAACTACTACAAGACCAAATTTGGAATTGAGCTTTTCTGCTCGAAAGTTTCCAATACACAAGACATATGCAGCAAAACAAGTACATACTTTCTACTGGAAACACTGAAGATCTATAATTTACCATGCCAGAACACAGATAATAAATTATGATCAGAAAAATGTCTTTAAAAGTTTTATTTTTATGGGAGTCCTGAAATATTAAAAATGTTTTCATAATTTGTAAAATTGATTGTATTGATTTTCAATGAAAAATATTGCTACAGCCTAATAGAGTTCTTAAAATAGTCTGCCACATGTGAAATATATATATTAGCTAGACTCTTTTATAATGAGTTTCTGGCTTTCGCTAATAGTCGAGCTTAAAAATCGTACTTAAATTATGTCATTTAGTTATTCAAATATGGCATGAGGGCTATTTAAATAAGGGATGTGGAGGACTTTCTAAGGATAACTGGCTTTTATTCATGTTACACATTGGAAAAACCAACCATTCAGCCAGCCCATTCACCTAAGTTCAAACCAATGATAAACTATCAAATGCACTGGTCAGCTTGGCCATTGGTGAGGTCTCTTTTACAGTGCATGCATTCTTCTCAAGTAAGTTTTTAGGTTTGCAACTTTCACCAGCTATGCAAATGAATATCACACTTGCATAAAGATGTCTTAGCAAAGAGGATCAGCACATTTTAACTTGATGAAATTCAGTTTGACAGATTAAAGTTTTTCCCTAAAAGTGACAGCATTTCTTTGAAGTTAAAAATCTCTTTTCATAACGATACTGGCACTTTTGTACCATATAACCTAATAAATATTTTCCTCCTGGGTAACTCACATAATGTCCTCTTATTTCTACTAACACAAATGAAAATGATTTAAAGCCATATAAACAGTCAAATGCTAAATCAGAATCTCATTTTTATTTTTACATTAAATTAAACAAATTATTTTTCATCTGCATAAAACAAAATACATAAACTGTTTGTATACAAATAAAGTTAAGACATTGTTTTCATTGATTTAGAACAATAAAATTAGCAATATAACACATACCATTAAATTCTAACTATCAAATTAAAAATACAGAAGAATTAACAATAATCTTAGTTTTACTTGGAAAGAAAAGTCCAGATAAGTATAGTTCCAATATACATATTATACCAAAATAGCAGTTAAAAAAACAATAAGGTTATTGCATGTTACTGTGAAACTATATTTTGCAGAACCGTGGTATTCTGCAAGATAATATCAAACTTTGAAAGCATTTTTTAATATCATGTAAATTATAAAGATATACACTTAAATTATTTTTTTTAATGATTCTACAAAGTTATACAATGAAATGTGGTTACATGATTACTATCTTTGTTTTATTTAGCAGATATCTTTGCCATTTTAAATAAAGTTAATACACTCCATAAAAGGCTTAAGATGCATAATATTAAAACTGATGAAAAATACATTATGTTTGAAATTAGATGCATGATTATAATGTACAGAAGATGATATAAAATGTCTACACAATACACTTTTGGAAAACTGAATAATTTTTGCCAAGAAAGTGAAGTATATTTTGGAAACATTTCAAAAGTGCAAATTATGAAATATTTCTCAGCTTGAAAGCTTCATAAGAGACTATTTTTCAGAGAAAAACCAATAAAATTGATAAAAAACGTATTTCATAATTATAAAAAATCTGGTCATTTATTAATACAGGAAAGTAGCAATACTTTGAAGTACAGTTGAACCTTGCTATAACAAACTTCAAGGGACTGAAAATTTGGTTTGTTATATTTGATCTGATATGAAAAAAAATAGATCATTTCGCAAAATAGTTAAAAATTAATTCGCAAGTCACACAGAAAGAGTGTTAGCATTGTCACGCTTTTCAAAAGATACTAATAGCAATTTTAAAAACATTAAAATTTATTTGCTTTAATAACTTGAGGTAAAACATTATTTAGCATAAAAGTCAAGGTTTAGTTCCAGCATTATCATTTAAAATATGAATATGTATCAGCCTTAAATAAAAAGCTGTCTGACAGCTCCATCAAAGAAACAATTCAAGCTCTTTGTTTCAATAGATCAATAGTTCTTTGGTTCAATGCATTATGATCTCCTTAGGCATATTTATTATGCATCCTGATTTTCCAAGATCTGAGTGTTACACCTCCCTCAAATAGTTCATAGGTAAAGATAAAAACAACTAAAAGTGTTTTTATTATTCTAATATCCTAAACAGGATGAATTTAAGGGTTAGTAATTTTCAATTTCATTTGTATACATTTGGAAGTTTGCTACAGCCATACAAAATAACATTAAGTCTACAGGACATTGAATGGGACAGGAAAATTCCCTCATTATCAGCCATATTCACCAAATAAAAACAGCAGAGTTTGTATATTCATCATTAAAAAATTAGATACCAATAAAGTAATTTTAATAATTCAATTAGCTATAAATTCCAATAACTTGATAAGTTACAAATTCTTATAGAATATACTTAAAATTGTTAGCACAGCCATAAAAATTTTAATTTATTTTCCCAAACATACTTTAATAGGAAATAGATCTGGGAAGTGGGCAGGCTACCAACCACTACTTGGAATGGTCTGGCTATTACAGAATAAGGCTACCCAGACCATAATGCCTGGAGTTAGATATCTGTACCATTCCAACATAAAGAGAATGGGACTGTACTGTTGAGCAGGAAACCTCCCCATTCAGAGACAATGGTCATTCAATCCAAAACGAAAAGCGACTGAATGTCACAGAACACTATTCCACAGTGCCCCATCACTGGAAACAAAAGTGCTGATATTTCAACATTGAAAGTAGAACACATACAGGGTACCGGGATCTGGAGGCATCTTGCAACGATTTTCAAGCCTCCTTGAGCAGTTACATTGGACTGAATTGTGATAGGATCTGTATCTTTCCATTGAACTCTCTCTTAATGTCTGTGTAGACATCCTTGAACAGTGAACCATAATGTGAGGCTTCTCTGGCACCTACACTATCCAAGCAATCAACGCTGTAGACTATAATACTGCGGCAACTCTCTAGCATCAGTCCAGTCACAAAGGCTCTACGGAAGTCTGTATATATCATTTCTAGCATGTAAAATGGTAGTTTTCCTCTTCCATGCATGTGATTGCTTCAGCCAGTGCTTTTTACACTCGTACAAAAGTCTACAAGATTTCATTATTTAAATCTGGCAGTTAACAATTTAGTGTCACTTCGGGGCGTGTGATAAAGTGCGAAGACACTAAATTTAAATTATTTCCATAATCTTGTAGTCATGACATTGTTTCTTTGATTGCATTAATTTCAATGACTAACAGTTTTGAAAACAAAGTAGACAGAATACAAAACGAGAAAGGTACTTGTAGATATCAGCAGATCTAGATTTCACTATTAGTGTAAGAAAATGCAAGCACATCCCAGGCATTTAACTTATACAATAGTGAAAATAAACTAATAATTATGCCAATAAAACTTCTGTTGTTTCCTCAGTTGACAGTTTATGGTTAATTGAATATGGCAAAGCACATGAGAAGGATCTTCTCGTGGCATTGCCATATTCAATTTAACCATATCCCCTTCTCTGTCTAAAAGGAGAAATGCCTTCATGGAGGGTTTTTTAAAGGGAAACTGCCCTCATATTCACATTACATGTAGGGAAAACAACAAAACCAACCACGCAGACGGCTATCAGCATTCTACAAACTTAACAACTCCACTAGTGGATTCATAATTTTAACTTGGCTATCACACAAAGATAACATGACTTTTATAAAAAGTGCAAGACTGTTTCTTCAAAGAGATTACAAATCAACCATATGGGGCATATGGGTTTTGAAGATTCATTTTCTGTTACACTACAGATTAAAAATAAATAATTAAACATATTTACTACCTACTTCCAATAAGCATATTTGCTTGCCACATTCCCCCCCCCTTTTTTTTTCAATCATCTGAGTGTAAGAAGTCACTTAACACCTAAATTATAACAGGACTGCTTATAATTAAGATACAATAACACGCCGAACAAGTATTAATTTAGAAGTCAAACAAGTTTTGTTGTTTAACTTCTAAATTAAGGACTGCTTATAATTTATGATTATTATTAGATCATGCCTCAATTTTTATTAGAAAAGAACATGGTCATGTAATTGGTTCTAGGTAAATAAAAAATAATTTCTTTACCTAATTTTAACACTATAAAATATATACAAGTTATCATTTATCTATAGTTTAAAAAAAAACATTCTTTGAATATTGAAGCATGTACAGTGGACAGACTTCTAAAATAGAAGCAAATAGAATAGCTTATTAAAAATGAAATTAAATTGTTCAATACAGAATTTTAGTTTATGAAAAAAAAATCTTGTGCAAACTTTTATATACATTTTCAATCATAGCCAACTAATGCAATATTTATTTCATCACCTTAAAAATGCTGAAAAATATACACAATTAACAAACAAAAGAAAAAATTATATGCTTCACAACTAAACAACAAAGTAATTTTATATAAAATATTCACAGCTTCCCCCTTTAAGCTATTTACATAATAAAAGAAAATCGGATTTATTATTACCAACCGAATATTTTATGCAACAGGCAAATAATTTTATGTGACACAATACAATCATTAACTTTTTAAGGGAAAACCCTAGATAAATTTGGAGGACACATAATTTATTGACATTTTTCTTATGAAAAGAAATAATTATAGATTATAAGGAATATTTATCACAACAGTAGTTTAAAAAAAATCTTAATTGATGTCATGACAGATGCAAGTTAACATGACGGCAAAGTTATAAATAAATTCGTAATTAATTCCATATCAGTAATTTACAGCAAATAGTCAGTGAGAAATTAAATAAATATGGATTACTTTATACTACACAACATACTTTTAAAAATTTCCACATTGACGTTAATTTTTTAAAGTGTTTCGTAATTGTTGCAGCCAAATTTTCCTCGTTATTTTAATTCAGCTCCAAATGAAATTTGAACCACAATATTTAACTGCATCTTTTGCATTCATCTCAGCAAAAAGGGATTCTTCAAAAATTATACTTACTCAGTTTTTACTATTATGATATTTTACTACTCATCTCAACAGCAGAAAGCTACTAATGAATGTTTAAGATACATAACAATGAAATCTTGAAGTATGTTTGAAAACTTTACAAATAAATATATAACTCATTTTTAGAAATATTTTAGGTGATGCATACTTGTTACATGCAATTAACTTTCAATACTCAAAATACCTTTAAAAACCAAATCTGTAATTACAGCAATATTCACGTATACCTTAGGTCCAATAAACTGCAATGTTTAAATAAACAAAACAAAGGCAATATTTCCATCCTTTATTGCAAATTAAAAACATACATAATATAAACTGCATTACACAATATAGAAATTATGCATTCAAATAAACATAATTATAAAAACACAAATCTTAAAAGTCCACATATATGGTTACATTATGGCCAATACTTTCTATCCAGCTAAATAGAGTTTCATAAAGAAATATATGCAATGTTCTGATACATACAGGTGGCTTAGTGCTAGCCAATAACAATAAACATGATGGAAAAGTATTGTTCAATGAAACTTTTCCCAACACTTTGTATCTCATAAATACAGTGATTTTTTTTTAAATCTAAGTTCTCTTATTATTCTTTCCGTTTATTTCAAAAAGTCCCCCCCCCCATAAAAATTTTATTTATCACTTTCATCATCATCTCCAGGACTTGCTGGGCTGTATGATGGAGATGATGGAGAATATCCAGGACTTGTAGGTGAATAAGTCGAGCCCTTAGGGCTTGTCACAGAGTAAGTTGGACTGGTAGGACTGTACTGTGGTGAAGTTGGAGAATATGATGGTGATGTTGGTGAGTACTTCGGCGATGAAGGACTGTACTGAGGAGACGGTGGACTATATTTTGGAGAAGTAGGGGTATATGATGGACTTGTAGGTGAATATTGTGGACTCGAAGGAGAATATTTAGGACTTGATGGTGAATAGGATGGAGAAGTTGGAGAATAAGTAGGAGATGTTGGACTATATTTAGGTGAAGTGGGAGTATACTGCGGTGAACCAGGAGAATAACTTGGACTTGTAGGACTGTATGATGGAGAGGTTGGTGAATATTTTGGACTTGTTAATGAATAATTTGGACTTCCAGGGCTGTAGCTTGGGCTCTGTGGTGAGTAACTCGGAGAGCTTGGAGAATAACTTGGACTTGTTGGGCTATATGAAGGAGATGTAGGAGAGTAACTAGGACTTGTGGGTGAATAACTTGGACTTGTTGGAGAATATGAAGGTGATGCAGGTGTATAGTTTGGTGAACTAGGAGAATAACTTGGGCTTGTAGGACTGTAACTAGGACTTGTTGGAGAATAACTAGGACTTGTTGGACTATAGCTTGGACTTGTCGGTGAATAATTTGGACTTGTCGGCGAATAACTTGGACTGGTTGGTGAATAGCTAGGACTGGTTGGTGAATAACTAGGACTTGTTGGAGAGTAACTAGGACTTGTTGGAGAGTAACTAGGACTTGTTGGTGAATAGCTAGGGCTTGTTGGCGAGTAACTAGGGCTGGTTGGAGAGTAATTTGGTGACGTTGGAGAGTAACTTGGACTTGTCGGTGAATACGAAGGAGAAGTTGGAGAATAACTAGGACTCTGTGGAGTTAATGAAGGTGAAGTTGGAGCAAAAGATGGTGAAGATGGAGAATAACTTGGCGACAAAGCACCAGCAGGGCTTGGAATATATGGTGATGCTGGTGAAGCAGGTGATCCTGGCTGCGGAGACCAAGCAGGGCTGTATCCAGGACTGTAACCACTTGCATCACTTGCAGCAGATGGTGAAAACCCAGCAGCACCTGGTGTCATACCACTTCCTAATCCAGGAGACCACGCATTAGCATATGCAGGAGTGCCTCCTTGATTCCATGGCGTCATCTGAGGTGACATACCACTTGATGGGCTTGCAACACTTCCAAAAAATACACCTGGACCACCCATAGCACCAGCAAGAGGAATCTCTATGCCATATTTACATTTTTCTGCATCTAGAAGTAAATCAAATGCACCAGTTCCCATTCTTGGCAACTGTCCCATTATGATGTTTTCAGAAACACCTTTCAAAGGGTCCAGTTCAGCATGTGATGCAGCATCTAATAAGATATCAACAGTTTCTTCAAAGGAACACCTCATTAACGCACCAGTATCTTGACGATTTATGCCATGACGAGTTATAGCCATCAGATGTCCCTTTGCTGTCATAACATCACAAAGCAATGCAAGATGTCTATAGTTAACATAAGAGCCATCAAATGAAATGACATGATTCATTTCTTTTTCTACAGCTTTTCGCACAGCTTCAATGCCCATAACGGCAAATATTTCACAAATGTCATTAGAGTATGTACGTACAGGATCAACATCTTTCTCACTTAGAACTCTCATTAAACTTGTTCCATCTGTTTCTAGAAGCCACTCAGCAATTGGTTTAAATTCACCAGTTTCAGTAATCACTATTCTCTTTTTGTTGTCAGTAGTAGGCAAATGCATATATACTTTAGTAATTGCTTCAATTCCCTGCAAAGTCATATCACTAAGCATATTTGCTTCTATACATCTCAGAAACACGTCATCTTCCATTTTATCAACTTGCTCTTCTTCTTCTTGTAACTTATTATCATCATTATTCATTATCCTTATTCTAAGGACAAGTTTTTCAGCATTATCATCATTAAAAATGCAATTCAAATCATCCCCAAAACCAGCATTGATCTTTTCAGCAATCTGCTCCATTGTTAATTTCTTATCAGTCATTCTCTTTCTATCTAATTCAATACGAAGCAGCCAAGGAGAAATGCGTGATGGATCAAAATCAGGCATTTCATAGTACACATTCACAAATTCTTGGTCTTCAGCAATAACTGTGTTCTGAGGATCAGGATCATAATAAATAGCTGTATTGGCAGTGACTTTTCTTAAAGTTGTATGTTCCAACCTACACAGAACATCTTTAGCCTTTTCAGCATCTCGTGCAGCAGCACCAGTAAGGAAAACAGTGAGAGATGGTGTTTTAGGTTTTTTTGAGATATTTATAATTTCTTTCAATCTTGGTACACCAAGAGTTACATTTTTTGCGGATACACCAGCATAATGGAAAGTATTTAATGTCATCTGAGTGGCAGGTTCACCAAGTGACTGAGCTGCTAAAGCTCCAACCATTTCTCCAGGTTGCACCTGAGCTTGCTGAAAACGAGTTTCTATTTCTCCAAGAAGCCAATCGAAAGCTTCAGTAGAAAGGCGGAATTCTTCTGCAACACGTTTTGTGCACAAAGTTGAATGAAGTAAAGCTCTAAACAAAATTGTAGCATTATCATTTGCTTGAATGCTTAGTCTATCTTCCCCAGGTACAATGACTAATTTTTTTACAAGTTTTTCAACGCCTTGCATTACTCTTAAGGGGCTTAAATCTGTAGGAGATCTAGTATGCACATGAAATATTTTTTGAGCATTCCAAATCATCCTTTGAAGATTGCAAGGTAAAACAACTTTACTATCACCAGTAGGAAATATAGTCCGAAGAACTTCCCTTTCAGCTTTAAGAATTTCCCATTCTTTTTCAAATTCATTTAGTGCAGTAGTACTTCCTGCAATATCTCTCACAACTTCTTCAAGAAAGATGCGTCTGAGATAACGCTCATTTGAGGCATCAAATCGGAAACGCTTTTCAAAAGCTTTATCCGATGGCTTTAAAGTAGGCAAAGATTGAAATTCTACTGTAGTTCCATCTAAACCATCTTCACCATAACGGAACTGGATAACTTGGCCAGTACTATTTCTTACCGTACCATCATATGTTGCCATTACACTTTCCATAGCTTTTATAAGTCGTCGCTGGATATAACCAGTTTCAGCTGTTTTCACAGCAGTATCAATAAGACCTTCACGACCACCCATAGCGTGGAAAAAAAATTCTGATGGTGTTAAACCTGCAAGATATGAATTTTCAACAAATCCTCTACTCTCAGGCCCATAATCATCTTTAATAAAATGTGGCAATGTACGCTTCCTAAAACCAAATGGTATTCGTTTTCCTTCAACATTCTGCTGACCCACACATGCAATAACTTGAGAAATATTAATTTTTGAACCTTTTGCTCCTGATACCACCATAGCTTTAAAGTTATTAAACTCTGACAATGACTTCTGAGCACTGGCACCAGTTTTATCACGAGCATCGTTAAGTATACGATTTACCTGATTCTCAAAAGTTTGTCTTAATGTATTACCAGGTGTAGGTTCAAGATCATCATTATGAGCTTTTTCAATAACTTCTATCACATCCATTTTTGCTTTTTTAATAGTATTCTGAATATCAATGTAAGTCTGAGGATCAGCAATAGTATCTCCTATTCCTATAGTGTGACCTTCTAATAACAGCCAGTTGTTAACCACAGTCTGAATGTGTCCATAGAAAGCACCTGCAACCTCGTGGCCTAATTCAGAAAAGATAACATGCATTAATGATCCACTAGCAGAGCCAACAGTTTTTTTACATACTATACCACTGATCAGTTCTCCATGTTCAATAAGCACTTTAGTATCTCCAGGAGAAATCCATTTGTAAGGTCCATCATCTTCTTCATCAGGATGAGTACTATGAGTACGAATCAAGTTCACATTCCCAGGAATAATCAGAGAAAAAAGTTGCTTTCCAGTCCAAAGCGGTTTAGGCTTCAAAATCGCAGGCATGGGAACTTTTCCATCCCAAATTGGAAGGAACATAAGTAATGTCATCATCTGATCTTTTTCAAGGAATACATCCCTTTTTGTCATTTTACGCACAGCAGTGAGTGTGTCCTGCACAATTCCCATCACAGGTTTGTTTGACTGAGGTGTGATAATATTTCTTGGCACAAGAGCAAGTTCTTGAACTTCAGCTCGTGTTTCAAGTGACTGAGGGACATGAAGATTCATTTCATCGCCATCAAAGTCTGCATTATATGGTGTGGTCACACTTAAATTCATTCTAAATGTAGACCATGGTAAAACTCGTATGCGATGACCCATCATAGACATTTTGTGCAAAGTAGGTTGCCTATTAAAAACAATAACATCACCATTACGTACATGTCTCTCTACTCTATAACCACACTGTAAATGTAAGTCACTCGCTTTTGGATGAAATCTTAAATCTATTCTTTCTCCACTGTCACGAACTATATATTTAGCTCCAGGATACTGGTTATTCCCTCGCTGAACAAGTTCATGCATTTTTTCAATATTGAATGGCGTTACGATCTCAGGAAAAGTTAGATTTTGAGCAATAGATCTAGGCACACCAACTTCATCAATTCTCAGATTAGGATCAGGTGTAATGACAGTACGAGCAGAAAAGTCAACTCGCTTACCCATCAAATTACCTCGAATTCGCCCTTCCTTACTTTTCAGTCTCTGTTTAATTGATTTGAGAGGTCTTCCACTCTTCTGCATGGCTCTTGGTAACCCAGGCAATTCATTATCAACAATTGTTGCCACATGAAATTGTAACATTTTTATATTCTCTGCAATAATGTGAGCTGCTGCACCTGCTTGTTCATTACGTAAAAGTTCATTGTTTGCTTTTACAATGTCTGATAATTTATGAGTCAAATCATCTTGGTTCCTGGCAGAACCAAACATCACAACTGCAGGCCTTACAGGCAAAGGTGGAACAGGTAAAACTGTAACGATCATCCAATCAGGTCGAGCATATTTGGGATCCATCCCCAAAACATGGCATTCCTCATCTGAAATGTGCTTAAAAATTTCCCACACTCTTTCAGCACTCAGTGCAATTTTTCTTTCTTGAGAATCCTCATTTATATGCTTCCATTCAGCTGTTAAATCCAAACCACTTTGTCGAATAGATGGCTGATAACGGCCGCAACCTCCATGGCCAGACTTTTTTGTGCCATCATCATGCATAGTACTCTCTTGCCCCAATTTAGCATCTATTTCATCTCCTCCTTCACAAATATTTTTTCCTTTACATAAATCATAAACATGAGCAAGTCGTTTCCTTGGTTGACCTTTTGATTTTGCAAGGATTTCTTTTATTTTAGGATTATTAGGAGAAACAAGAAGCTTAGAGCAATAAAAGCATACACATCTTAATATTTTTATGCTCTTCTTTAAAAAACCAACATGGAAGACAGGCTTAGAGAGTTCAATATGCCCAAAATGTCCAGGGCAGGTAGCCATGTTGCCAGCGCAAGTCTGACAACGTGAAGTTTTATCAATGACACCTTGTCTCGGATCCATGAGGCCTCCAAGCTTTGGACGCCCACTTTCATAGATCTCAGGATATTTAACTCCTCCTTCAGTGACACTCATACGTCTTATTTCATCTGGACTTAAAATTCCAAACTGAACTCTCTTTACCTCCCGTAAGGGGGCTTTAGAGTCTGATGTGATTATCATAGACATTTCCTGAAATAAACAAAGAATATTAGTTACATCCAAAAGATAAAACTTCAACTTAAATTTAAAATAAAGTATGCACAGTATGCATTTTTCCTAATAATACTCTAATTTTGGTGGCACAGCTGTTACCTGATTATGAATTCTGTCACTTATCAATGTTACCTGTTCCTTAATCAATAGAGTTCTCGACTAAATCTATGCTAAACACAAGGTTGTTGCTTTGTCAATTTTATGAACAGAAGATACGTTTGCATGAAGAAATGTGAATTTTATGTTTTTGAAAACTACATCAGAGATATGCTAAACAGTTATCCAACAGCATATTCTTTCAAGTCTGATATGTTAATTAACATCTTCAACCATCAAAGTGTTTTTGCTTCTGCTGATAACCAATGATATTTACTGTATAACTTTATATCCTTCAGTTTCTTAAAGTTTACTGTTGTTTCACTCTATCACTCTATCATTAACCGACAGTATTTAACTGTGTGTTATAAAGTTAAAGGAGTATCCATTTCTTTAGCTACCTCAGCAAAATTCTGTTATGCAGTTATTAGCCCCTGTGTCTTGCTTCTCATAATGCAAATCCTCATGAATAATATTCTCTCTTTCTACTGAGTCAATTATCAGTTGGAACAAAACCTAAAAAATTTCACAACTTTTGCAGCCAAACAGCTCTAGAAATAAGGATACTTTTTAGTCTCATAAACTGAAACCATTCTAGGTTTCAGTTATCTCAAATCTCCTGTATTCACTTCACAAATTTGCTCTTTTTTGAACTAATTCATCTATTTTTTTTTTAGTAAACTGCTTAGGAAATTCCAAACTAAAATGCAACTATAGTCTGGCTCCCCTTAACAGCATTATATTTGTATCATTTTATTCTAGAATTAAATAATAATTTAATAATCTACACATTTCTGACATATAAAAGTTAAGCACACTTCAAGTAAAGAAATGCTTCTTCTAGTGATTAGCCCAATTTCAACTCGCATAATCACCACTTTCTTCAAATCAGTGTTTGACAATATATAATACATGTTCAAATGAAAGTAATTCGAAGCGTCGTATGCAAAAAATTTGCACTGGATTTTCGTGAAACAAATGCGATAGTGAAGCTGTCAGGACTTAATTTCTAAAATTAGAAGTGCCGGAACCCTATGGAACACCATCAGCAAAGAGGAATAAAAGTAAATAAATAAAATGACTATTAAAATCATTAATAATTTAAAATTAATAGTTAATTATTGACAAATTAATTAATAGTAAGAATTAATATGTATCAACTATTATTTAATTAAATAAAATTAATTAATATTATTAAAATAGTAACATAATTAAAATTAAATAAAATGTAAAGAGATAAATTTAAATAAGCAATTTGTAGTATAATTTTATTGCAAAAAAAAAAAATTCTAATGAAATTGTTCACTTACATAAAAGAAGAGCCGGAGCCTTTCCTGTTTAGGGCTCTGGTGCGTTCTGGCTAATATTATGATTTATCCCCAAAATTAAGAAGTAACAGAACCGGCCTCCGACGCAATTTAAGCTCTGGAAGCTGTGTGTACCACACATGCGTATGCGGAAGGAGATGCTCATATCTATATTTAACTGCTAACTTCAGTCATAAGGACATGGCATTCATTCAAAAATGACAGATGTGGATGCAACTACGTCGAAAAAAAAAAAAAAAAAAAAAAAAAAAAAAAAAAAAAAAAAAAAAAAAACAAAAAAAAAAAAAAAAAAAAAAAAAAAACTCAGCGAGCTGTCATCAAATTTTTAACATTGGAAGGGGGTGGTGGTTAGGGAAGGGTGGACATTTATCGAAGAATTGTGGCTGTGTATGGAGAGACACATGTGTGTCAAAGTCCACAGTGACTAGGTGCATGTTAGGGAAGGTCACCATGAGACAATAGATTTGCCGCGGCCCGGTCAGGCACACAATATTGTGACTGATAAGCTGATTTCGGATACTGACACGGTAAATCGACGTCGAAACGTTTGTGATGTTGCAAATGAGTTGAATGTTTCCATCAGTACTGTTCACAATATTGTCAGCAACATTCTGAAATATCAAACAGTTTGTTGCCTATGGGTACACCACATACTGTCCGACCATAAGAAACAGCAAATGGGCCTCAGTTTATAGCATTTGGTGTGCTTCTCGGCTGACGGCGACAACTTTCTGCAGCACATAGTGGCAGGGGATGGGGAAGTCCATCAACATGCAATGGAAACATCCCAACTTGCCCAGGCCTAAAAAATTCAAAACTCAGCCAGAAAAGTAATATTGACGGCATTTTTCGATATTCAGGATCCCAGATTACTGTAGTTTAAGGAGCTGTATGTCTCCATCAATGCCCAACGGTACACCGAAACATTTCATAAGCTGCATAAGAGTATCAAAAACAAACGTCAGGTATGCTGTCATCAGATGTTATCCTTCTGCATGACAATGCAGTGCCGCAAGTCGCACGTGTGTGTGTCGAGCCACTGGCCTGTGAAAAGTACAAAAGGGTCAACGCTTTCAGTCTGGCAAGGACAGAAAGGCTGTAGTTATGAACCAGTTATATGACCAAATGACATCGTTCTTCGCGGACGGAATTCGTAACCTTCCAGAGCAATAGGTGATTTTTTTTAACAAACATTTTATGCATTTCAATCATTAAATATCGTTGTTCCAATAGTTCTATGTATCCATATAATTTCTGTTGCTACACATTTCATGGATACACACCTCGAATCACTTTCATTTGAACGCCTCTCAAATAATAGCGTTAAGAAGAACTTCAGGAAGTTTTTGTACAGATTCCTGTGAATATAGAGTTTTAATGGACGAATTACAAACAGGGTATTTGGCTATTGAAGGAATTGTCTTTTACTAGTTGGAAGGCAAAGATAAAAAATTTAGCAGCTTATATATTAATAAGTATTACTTCTTTTGGCTCTTAGAAATTTGAATGTAATAAATAGCTAATTTCCTTAATAAGTTTAATAAACAGTGGTTACTGCAGTACTTTTGATTAATTTCTCATACCTATAACATCTCTATCAGTTAATGTATTTGTAATCATTATACTGTATGTTACTGTAAAAACAAGCCTTAACACATTTTTACAATGTGTCTTAAATAAATATATTAAAGTTTTGCCTGAATGCTTGTTATAACATTCAATTTCTGAAGCTGAATATTTGAAGTTTCTTTTATTTTGCTCTATTTCATTATTTTTATATTATACTGCTTGCATTTTAACAACTACTGCAATTTTCATCATTAAATATGCAAAAACAGTTTTAAAAGAATAAATATGTATTTACTATATTTTCAATACATAGTTTTTGTCAATAACATTTCAAACAAAATGGTGAGGGCAGTTGAAATCAAAAGTGCTTTTATTCTAGCTTAATGTAAATATGCTTGTTTTTAAAGAAACATAGTAATTTTTTTTAAATTAAGTAATACATAAAATTATGGGTTTTTAAGATAATTTATCTGCACATTTTATGCATGCGTACTGATAAAGGAAAAATATTTAGAATATGTTATAAATGCTCGATTATATGAGAAAATCCTAGAAATTCAAGATATAGCATAAACTTATTTACTAAGGCAGATTCAATGGTTTACTTAGTTTATTAATCTTATCCAGCCTGTCACCATGGCTAATACCTAAAATACTTTTAATGGTATGATGTCTTGAAAATCATTTAAGACAATAAAACAATATGCTGTACATAATTCTGCTGTTTTTTCCAAATGATTTAAAAATCACCACTGCCAATCTGAATCATTAGCTCATCTCCTAGCATTTAGAAATTCATCTTTACCCAGTAAGAATTTTGGAGCTTTTCATATGATTGCAACATCACATTTTTGGGAAGTCACTATCTGATGAGAAATGATAACTCTCTTTCCCACTATAAACACTCATCAAAAATGCAATAAAAATAAAGCTTTCGTTTGGCTTACTTCTGTAGTGGCCCAGTTATTGCATGAGAAATAATTATTTTTTATTTCATATATTTATTCATGTGCTTAATTATTTTATAATTAACTTTAATATTTTGTTTAACATTTTATTTTTTTTATGCTGAATGGCAATAAGTAGTTTCATATTATATTTAAATTTCTTTATGCTGAATGGCAACTAGTTCATTCTGATTCACGATTGCTAGGTTTTTGGTTTCAAAACTTGCTCGTAGCGTCGCATTTCGATAGCTGGAAAATAAAATGCAATAACTTAGCTATTTG